AATCTGCCCAAGGTGGGAGTCTAACCCACAATCTTGACCAGATTATTAGACAACTTAGGCACAGGTAAGTTTTAACAAGGTTACTCACCCAAGGAAATCTTCCAAACCCGGGAACTATTTCTCAGCTGCAGAGGGAAACCATGCACCAAAGGTCGGCACCTCTGCACTGGGAACATCCTGGGGAGAGCTCTGGGGACAGGTGATCCCCACCTGACGCTTCTGTTATTTGTCCCCAGGCTCCCAGGACTAGCTAGGGGCCAATAAACCATGGCAAAAATCTGTCTGGACTTATTCTGCTGGCTGGCTCACAAATATGTTACCAAACCAGGTTCATGTACCAGAGTAGTGGCAAGTCACATGCTGCAAAGTAGAGGATGGCAGCTGAGAAAAGTTTCATTTAGGAGGCAACCAAGTGAGACGACACAAAAACAAATCTCAACTTCACTCCCAGCCCTGAAGATAGGGTTCAGCGAACTTCATGGAGTGAAGGAGCAAGGGAGTCTGAGGCATGGGGAAAGGTGACTGGAGGTAAGAAAAGTGAGGTAATTGGTGGTCCGTTGTAAGATTAGTTGAGTTTCATAGCTCCTCATAGGACACAAGTTCAGAAAATGGTTGTTAGTGTGTTCTGAGGGTGGAGTTTGGGCCCCCTGACATCAAAAGGTCATGAATCAGACACTCAGGCCCGGTTGAGTGGCAAATGGTCTCAACCAGTTTGAACTGGGCACGACTTAGCTCCAAGTTCCTGAAAAACGACTTAAGCAACAGTCACTATAGTGAACCATATGTCAGACGTTACTGTAAGAAAGCTAATGGGAGCTGAGTTTAAAGTCAACTAAAAGCAAGAGAGGCAGGTTAGGGTTGGCAGGTTAGCCCTGGGTTTCAATGCCGCCTTGTTTCTGTTCATTCCTTATTCTTGAGCGATTCAGGGAAACGGCCCCTGTGGCTGCTTCCTGATAGCAAAGGGCTTAGGCCAGACAAGGGCTTGAGGAACAAAACTGTACAGTGTTCATTTGGAAATAGTTTCCGGTTTCTGGTTTCATGTTAACAGTTTATATTATTAGAATTATTGTGCCTCTTTTAACAGCCTCAGGATATTTAAGAGCACGTTTTATAAGCAAATGCCCAACTAAAATTTTGGATGAGAAATACAGATAACCCAAGCTTTGATGGTCCCTGAATAATACATCTCTTCCCTTGGGGAATCCAGGAGATTCCCAGTCTGAAAACCAGTCTGGACCTGACACTTCTGGGTATACTTGTTGCCGAGTGCCTTGTTGCCTTATTTTGCCTACATGGGTTTCTACTTTAGAAGAAACATTAATATATGTGTGATAGGAGGTAGCAGCAGCAGCAGCAACTTTGCCTCGTCCAGCCAGGATGTCTAGGACTACCTTTCTCATGAGTCAATTGCCTTCTGTTGGGCAGCTGCAGCTAAGGATGCTTCATGTGCTATTATGCCGAGGGTAATGGAAACATTCCTAATCCTATGCTTGTCTGATCTGACTCCCTGCCATGGTGAAAGCACTCTACTGAGCGTGTACCCAAAGCCGTCCTCTTGACTCACAGGCAAGTAGGCAGCCCTGCTTATTCTGGAGAATGATGGGAAGGAACTAGTCCAATGCTGAGTCTCACTGGAGTCGTGGAAAGAAAAGGGAGTGACTAAGTCTACAAGGAAGGAGCCTCCAATTCTCCAACTGTCGAAATGCGTCCAGGCCCAAGGTCGCCCCTGGGGCTACAAAGGCGTGTTCCTGCAGGGGCGCACGGAATGCCAGACGTATTCTGGAAGATGAATGTCTCATTCACGGGGAGACCGCCTGGAACTTGATCAAGCTAGGGGGTCAGTATGAGGCAGAACCCATGAGGAATAGTTTACAGCTTGATAAGGGAGCTGGTTGGACCATTCTTTGAAAACCTACCAAGTCTTGCTTTTGGAAACCTTGATATCATTCAGAGAACCAGGAACCTGATGTTAGGTGCACCACTGGGGGGCTAGAATATAAGAAGCCGGAGGTAAGGGGGAGAGAGATGAGTAATGCCACTTAGTAAACAGACAAGCCTAGATTTTCCATCAGGAAAAGTCTGCTTTTGGTGCGAGTAAGTCTGTGTTCACATTTTTACCCAGAGACCATTATAGTGGTCTAGGGGGAGAGGGTGGTTAGGAATAATTGGGGAAGGGAAGATGAAGGCCCTTGACTAACCATTCTAACTTTATAAGTTATACTTTGTAAAGGCTTTTGATTATATGTCACCATAAAGTTAAGGATGCTCAAAGCACAAAAAAAGTGGTCAGTATGAAGGTTTTGGATGACATATCCAACAGCTAGAGACACTACCTCTCTTTGCCACCACCCCACCACGCCAGCATGGAAGGACAATTCAATGATTAGAACTTCCCAAGCTTTGGCAAAGTCAACCAGGAAGCATAACAAAAAGGGCATCATATTTCTAGTTCAGTGTGTGGATGATTTAGAAGTCAGTCAAGTAATCTAATAAGTGGTTACTGTAGGAGACTGCCTTCTGAATAGCACTTGAAGACCTATCACGGATTCAACGCTCCATTTAGAGGTCAGTGTCTGGGTGTGGAGCCAGCCAAGGTTAGGCGACCATGGTCATGATGGTCTCTGACATCATGGTTGCCATTCCTTGCAAGGTTTCTGTAGATAGGACTTGGTGATCCTGAGGATCCTTGTGGAATCAACTTGAATGTGATGAATTTGGATCTATGTCTTGACTCATTTTTTAATGTCACTGAAGAATGGGTCACTAGTAACAGCTCAAATTCTGGTCCAGTGAGGATAGAGCTGGTATTCTGTATGCTCCTTTTTCAACATTTTCAGGAGGACCAGACTCCAGGACAGATATTGTGCAGAGAAGCTTCAGAGGAAAACATCAACCTGCTAGAAGCAAATTTATAAAGGGCAGTTAGAGGAGCTCCCAATGATGGTACATACTTGTCAGTATCTTGTTCCTTGATTCCAGTTCTCTTGGGTCTCCTAAATCATTTCTAGAACATAGAGAGGGGCTACCATATAACATTTCACTGGGGATCCATTAGAGATTACCTTTAGGGGCTACCCTCACCCGGAGCAGGGAACTTAAGAATTATTCCTTTTTGTAAGGCTTTAACAATCTCAGAATCCTTTTTGGACTGGTAGGAAAAGCTTCTACCCAACCAGTGACTGTCCACATATACGAGTAAGTACCTAAAATTCCAAGTGTTTCTCCACATCACAGTGAAATCAATCAGCCAGTCTTCTCCAGGTCTAGTGCCTCGGGTCTGAACTCCTCTGGTTACTTGAGGTGGCCCAGTTTCTGGGTTGTTTCTAGCTCATACCATACATTTCTGTATTACTTTTGAACAGTCTTTTTGCTTATGTGGTCCTATAATGAATTTCTGAATCTAGTAGAGGGTGGCATCCTTCCCCTAGTGTGTGCTCTGGTGTATATGATTTATTACACCCTCCAGAAGATACTCAGGTACAGGGACATGTCCATTATAAATCCATCCTTCCTTGGTGTACCTATAGTGGGTGTCCTGAGGATGGTCAGGACTTTAGTCAAATCCCCATTCATTGGCCCTTTCTAAGTCCTCAAGAGTATACTGCAGATAGTATCTTGATGAATCCACTTCAAGAATCAGAGCCAACAAAGGAATCTATGTGTTTTGATCTTAGCCGCTAGCATCCTGGCCTGATTGGCTTGATTTTTCCCTCAAGCAGTCAGTCTGATTCCTGGTGCCCTGGGCCATGGACAGTGACCAGTTTTTTTTGGCTCCATGACAGCTTCTAATAAGTTTAAAATTTCTTTGGCATGTTTAAGTTCTTTCTTCCCTGCAGTTAACAGTCCTCTCTCTATCCAAATGGCTCCATGGGTGTGGACCACTGAAAAGATGTATTTGAAATCAAGAAAATAATTACTCTCTCATCCTTATCCATATGGAGGGCTCTGGTCAGTGCTACAAGTTGAGCCTTTTGTGTGGAGGTACCTGTGTGGGGATTCTGCTTCCAGTGTCTATGGATGGGTCACCACCAAACGCCCAGCTTTGCATTTTCCCTGGTCCATGAAGCTGCTCCCAATTGTGAACATCTCAAAGTCTTAAGTCTCTAATGGCAAGTCCCTCTGTTCAGGGCAGCTAGAATAGACCTATTCAATTATGTGAATAGAATCATGTACAGGTTCTTCAAAACTAGTGGGAAAAAGTGTATCTAGGATTAAGGTTGTGGCTGCCTTCAAAGTGACCTTAGGGTTATCCAGTAATATATATAGCCTGGTGTTTTCCTAATCTTCCTGAGACTGACCATTATCCTCCTTTCTGTTCTAAGAGGGAAAGCACACAGCAAGGGTTATGCACAGTGCTATGTTGCCCTGGTATGAATTTTTCTGCTTCTTATAAGGGGTCACAAGTAGCTGCTATGGCCTGAAGGCACACTGGCCATCCCTTGGTGTCTGTGTCTAATTGTCTGAAAGACAGGCAACACATCTCCTTCTACGGCCCAGCTATTGGGTCAGTGCTCCAAGAATGATTCCTTGTCCCTCACGAACAAACAAGTCAAAAGGCTTCCTGATAGCCAGCTGGCAGAACTAAAGCTGGGCCAGTTGACAACTTTTATATGATAACAACTTGTGGGATTCAAAACTCAGGGGTATACAGAAAAAGGCATCTTTTAGGTCCCCAAAGTAGTGAGCAGAGTGTATGGATTAGGAATCACTGGATAAACATCTTCTATAATTAATGGCTCTCAAGTCCAGTACAAACCTGTATTCATCTGTGCCTGGCAGCTGGAAGGGTGAAACTGGAGTATTAGAAGGAGACCTGCAGGAGCACATTAAGTCGTAGCCCTGGGGCCAAAATTCCAAAATGAAAGCAGTACTCATTAAAGGAAGGGGCAGAGCAAGGGATTTAGCTCCTGCTAACAGCCTTCCTTGACTGAGTCTGACTCTACTGGTGTAGCTATTCTTGCTCTCCCCTGCCTCCCTTCAGTGCATACTTCTGGACTCACCTCCTGCAGTGTCTCTTCCAGAAGTGCTGACCGTATTCCTTTTGGGGTTGGAGCAACAGGGCTTGGAATGCACAAACCTGCTCAGGTGGTACTTTAATGCCCATTGGTCCCAGTGCAAAGGTAACCTCGGCATTTCATTTAGTTAATAAATCTCCCCCTAGAAGAGGAATGGGACACTCAGGAAAAAAACAACGCTTCAGATGAGTCTTCCCCTTCTGATGGTCTAAGGGCTGGACAAAGGGCTTCTTCAGGGTTTCTTCAGACACCTCAGGTACTAATAGACTCGGAGGGAAGTTCAGAAATCTGGATATTTAAAACACAGTAGGTGGCCCCATATTGGTCAGAAAGTCAAAAGTTGATTTCCCACCATCACAGTAACTTGGGGCTCCACAGGGAACACTGATGTCCTCCTTGATAGGGCATAACCTTACATTTTCTCCTGGTTTATTCTGGTGCAAGGACATAAAAGTTGAAAACAAGATCTGTTTTCACATTTTTTTCCATTTACAAAATGTAATTAAAATTGTAATTTAAGGACCCATTTTTTGCACCATTTTTCTTTAGAGTCTAAAGAATATTCTGGCCATAGGGTGTCACCAAAACATCTTTTTTTTTTTTTCCTTTTCATGGATTCCTAGCTAAATATTGCCCAATTTTGGAGACTATAGCCTGGAGAGCTGCAAGGGCGAATGGCATTAACATTTCCCAGTTGGAGGGTTTTTTCATATGGCTGCAGCAAACGAAGTCTTTCTAAGAGTCTATCTTGGTACTACCTGCAGAAGTTACCCAGCACCAACAAAGTTCAGGCAACTAAGCCTCAGATGAGGCTTTGCCTCATGAATGAAGGCAAAACTGTTCTCTTAGAAGTGAGTCCCTATGAAGTCATTATCTGTTACAGGCAGATGCTCCAACACCTCCGTAAATATCCCAGTGACCTGGGAACATCCCCAGAGACAGGTGGGAGCACTGCCTCATTTCTTTGGAGTCAAAAGATCCTCATAAGTTTAATTCCTAAGGGAGATTTTCTGCAGTCACCAAGAAACTCGGCCCCTAAATAGCCAATTCTTAGTTACCGCTTATCGCTTACAGCCAGAATGCTTTAAATAGCCAATTTTTAATTAATAAGACTGTCAGACATAGACAAGCAAGTGTAAACCTCCGTGACCCTCACCCAGGTTTTAGAACCTCAGCAGCTCCCACCTTTCATATCGCCTCTCTGGGTGGGCCTCTAACCCACCATCCTAGCCTTGGGACTCCAACACAAGGGTCTGGACTCTAGCTCAACTAAACTCTCACCAAGGTGGGACTCTGAACCACAATCTGGGTGAGATTTCTAGACAATTTAGGTACAGGTGGGTTTTAATGAGCTTACTCACCCACAGGAAGTCTTCCAAACACAGAAACCAATTCTCAGCTGCAAAATGAAACTATATACCAAATGTCAGTGGCTCTGACAAGGGAAATGTCAGGGACAGTCCCTGGGACAAGGGATCCCCACAGCTGCTGGGACTTGTCCCCAGGGCTCTCAGTATCAGCAAGGGACTGATGGACCATGGACAGAAGTTCTGCCTGGACGTTTTCTGTTGGCCAGCTCACCAAATCTATTCCAGAATCAGGTTGATTTGCAGGATACACAGCAAGCCAAACACTGAGACAAAGGTTTGCAGCTGAGAAAAGTTTCACCCACGTGACAGCCAAGCAAGGAGATGCAAAAACAAACCTCAAATCCACTTCTCCAAAGATAGGGTTTAGGGATATTTAAGGGATGAAGAGGCAGGTCAGTCTGAAGCATGGAGAAAGGTGATTAGAGGTATAAAAAGTCAGGTAATCGGTGGTCTTCACAAGCATAGTAGAGCTTTGTGGCTCTTCCTAGAACACGCTGAGGTCACTGTTTTCTGAACTCACATCCTGAGAGTGGAGTTGTTGGTCTGTGACGTCCGAAGGCCATCCATTAGACATTCACACAGGCCCAGTTGTATGGTCGATGGTCTCAACAGGTCTGAACTGGGCAAGATCTGGCTCCAAATTCCTAAAAAAAACCCACTGAACTCCTAAGGTATGGGTCACTATAGTAATGGTTGCTTATCTGTAAGGAAGCTAATAGGAGTTTAAAAGCAAGGGAAGCCTGGTGACTTGTTTTTAGTTGGTTTTAATCAGGTTAGTTCTCAGTTTCAAATGATAAACCTTTATGGCAAATCAGAAATGGAACATATAGGTGATCCTGGTGCTGAAGACCAAGGCCTTCAAAGGCACATCACTGTCAGTAAGCACTATCTCAGTCTTTAATTGCCTTTCACAAAGCAAAAAGTTAGTGGCCCAGCCAGGAACCTACTCATTCTCCTTTGGTAATATCGACTTTAATTTCAAACATTGTTCCCTACCCAATGGACTTGTGAGTCTGGGGTTTGAGACATAGCTTTAGTCCCTGTTTGCCGTCCACCTGTAAGTACCTCAATATATTCAGAGCAGAAATCAGTTGATTCATAATTCTCATCAGTCCCCTGTTATAACCCAGCTCTTTTGCACTTACTCCCTACACTAAGAAATGGTAATGGAGACTCATGGTTCTATTTAGAAAAAAATGTTCCATGAGCCATCTGTATCACTGATGTGCTGTGTTTGTCATCTTGAGGAGGTAGTCAAACTTCTGAGCAGTCAAGATGACAGATTCCTGGACTTGATCCCAGATGTACTGAGTGACTTCATCTGAGGACTGAGTCTGGGATTGGATTCTGCAGTTCAAATTCCTCTGGTTTTCCCCTATGCATGTTGAATGGAAGAACCATTACTTCAAATGTGTGGCCACTGATCTCTCTGCTAGGTAAGCTTAGTGGTCAACTAGTGATTGAACCGATCTTGGATGCTGTGAAGCAATAAATCTCCCAACCTCTGCTGAGGGACTTGGTGTGTGCTTCAAAGCAGGTCCTAGATGCTCTGCCAGACAATTTACAACTCTCCCTTAGCTTTCATTCCTGCCTGTACAGAGCCTCATGATCAGCCAGAGGCAAGAGATTCTCAGACTTCTTAGGTCTTTGCTGAACATGCACACAACTCTGGAAACATGCAAAGCTTTATACATGTGTATGGCTTTCTAAGTTCCCAGGAATATGTTGGAGCTCTTCCAAACCCCTTCTAGACATGTTACTTCCTACCTTTTCCTTTGGAGTTTTGTTGGTAACTTTGTTGACATCAACTGTTATCACCAGCTCAGGCCATGTGATAATAAATGACTGCTGCCAATTATTCTTGACAAATGCCCTAGGGAAAAAGGCAGTTAGTTTGACCTGACCCAGAGTTTATTCTTAGCAAAGTCAAGGTCTCTGGCTAATCTGGCAATTCCCTGGAAATCTTCAAATAAAGACTATTCTCTGGAAATCGAGGTTTTTCAGGGAGCACCAATCCCATTTTTGTTCCACCAGTCCTAGGCTACTACTTTTCATGGCTACCATGATTGTGAAGCCATGATGACTGTTGGTTATCAAGGCTACCAAGGATGTGGGTGGGAGGGGCATGGGATTAAAGCAAGCTAAAGCATCACAGGGTTTATTGTTCTTACCAAGATTCTGCTGTTCTCGAATACACTCTCCTCAGATTATTGCAGGCCTTTGGCTGATTTCCAGAGTCCTCAAAAAGTTGATGTTGACACGTTTTCCCTAATGTTCTTATTACTTTTGTGGAGGAATGGATTTTCAGAGGGCCTAATTCTGCCATTCTGAAAGTGTTCTCCTGAGAAATTTTTAAAGACCTAAATAAATGGAAGTAATTACTGTGGACAAGAATGTCAACAGCCATTTCAGTCCACAAAGGTATCGCTGGAGCCACTGACAGTACACCCTGAAGAGACTTCAGGATGGAGAACAGATTGCCCACCATCAGCCAATGCAGTCAACCCCCTAAGGTGTACCCTGAGAGGAATTCAGCAGAAAAATAGGATACTGGCCCTAGATAGCTAAGATGAACTTCAAAGGAATAATTTCAATGAGCCTAGACCCTTGCATCTTCCCATACACAAGAAAGCACTAAAAGTATTAACTTGAGATGTCTAGTTTTATGATTAGCAATTATCTTCTGATGTTCGACTACATTTTTTTTCCTAGCAGAAACTCCTTTATACTTTGGCCTCCTCCCTTACTTCTCTGGAAGAGTGCCTCAGAGATATCTGAAAGGCTGCTATCCAAGGCTATAGTCCTCAGTAAGGCTACCAAACAAAATGTAATTCTCAACTTTTAGATTGTGCATTTTTTTTCCATTGACAATACCATGTGCATTAATTGAAAGACTCAATGTTATTAAGCTTTCAATTCTCCCCAAATGATCTATAAATTCCATGAAATCCTAATCATAATCCCACCAGGCTTTTTTGGTAGGTATAATAAGCTTATTATAAAACGTATATGGAAATGCACAGGACCCAAAATATCCAAAGAAATCTTGAAATAGGACAAATTTGGAAGACTCAAACACTGGTATAAGATCAACAAATAGGTCAACGAAAACAGAGGTTTCAGAAATAGGACCACACTTAGCTGTGATTATAGTTTTGACAAAAGCACCACAGTGAAAATAGTCTTTTTAGCAAATGGTGCTAGAACCAGTAGACATTCATTTAGAAAAAAATTAACCTCAACTCCTGTCACACCATGTAGAAAACTTAATTTCAGATGGATTATACAATTAAACTTCAAAACTAAAGCTTCTAGAAGAAAACTTTGGATATGGTATTGTGAACAAAAAATACTGCAACCATATCACTAAACAAAGAATGCTGAAACCAAGTCATCAGCGGCTGCCGCCCACCCCCTACCCCCCACCCCAGTGAAGACAAGCCTGCAGCCCAGCCTCTGCAGCCACTCACAATGGTACCCTCTAAGTGGACTCAGAATAAGAAAGGACAGGATACTGGCCCTAGATAGCCAGAGATGCTTGTCAAAGGAATGAATTCAATGAGCCCAAATGTTTGCTTCCTCCCATACACAGAAAAGCACTAAATTCTTTAACTTGAGATGCCTGCTTTTCTTTAGATAACAAGTAATCTTTTATTGTTCCAACTACCTGGCCTTCGTTGTAAAGCTCCTCTATATCCTAGCTCCTCCCCTACGTCTTCGGAGCAGTCCCTCAGAGCGATGTGAGAGGCTGTCATGCAGGCTGGAGTCCTCCCGACAAATAAAACAACTCTCAAGTTTTAGGCTGCGCATTTACTTCAGTCGACAGTATTGACACTCCGACCTTTTTGTTGTTGTTGTTTTGGACATAGGCACTTGGAGATGGGAAGCTTTTTTAAAACAGGAGCATAGAATGCAATAACATAAAAACAGAGTAGGCCACATCAAAATTTAAAACATTCTCATCAAAAGATACCATTAAGAAAATGAGTAAGAATGGCACAAACTAGGAGAAAATTATTCGTAAAACATATGCCTGACAAAGGACTAATGTCCAGAATATATGAAGAATTTTCAAATTCAATAACAAAGACATCAGCAAAATATTCTAACAGCAACTCCACAAGATAGCTATAGGAATAGCCAATTACCGTAAGAAGAAGAAATGCCCCAAAGCATTGGACGTGATGGAAATACAAACGATGAAAGTCTGTTACACAGGACTTAAAATTTACAACCCAATACACAAAGTTTGAACTAAAACTAAACATTGAATTCCTCTGGATAATTTACATGAAGTATTCCGAGGTAAAGTATCTGATTTTGAAAATTAACTTGAGTGCGTTAAAGATGTTGAATTAATGGTAGAAATATGATGAAGAAAATAATTCCAGAGTTTAGGTTGTGGGATAAGTTTAGCTTGTGGAATAAGTGTGTGATATATCATTCTTTCATCTTTTTTATGTTTATCAATCTCATAATAAAATGTTAGGAAATATTATATGAAAGGAAAGAAATGTAGAGGCTAAGTTTCTTATTTGAGTGACTATTCATATGGCCACAGTTAGCTTTTGGTTTCCTGTGTTTTCTTCTGTTTTCTATCTATTCTGTGTTCCTCTTGAAAATCAGTGTTGCATTCCCCAGCTAACGCTTGTTTCCTGGCTTCGGCCTGAGAGAGGCACCACACCAGATGGGGTTCAGTCACCGCCATCCCCTGAGCCCTGGAAGCTCGATCTGCCTGCAGGCTGGGGCAGCCACAGTGAAGGCTGCCCATCCATGACTGCAAAGCGCAGGGCGGCAAGGTCATTGCCCCACCTTCTACCGTTAGTTGATTGTCGTCCCTTTCCCCGCAGGCAAGGAATGGCATGCTACCAGCCCTTTCTCACCTTCCTGTGTGGGCTGCGAGCAGCTCCCCTGCCCAGGTCTGGCTAGACTGTGACCACAGAATCTGTCTTCCTCAGTGTCCTAAGAGCAAGGTGGACTACCCAAACCTGGACATGTAGGAGCACTACCTCCACCACAGGCACACTTCAAAGATGAATCACCTGTACTCCTCTCCTACAACTCTTCAGTCAGATTGAGTGGATCCAGACACCTCTAGGGACCTTTCCTGTAATTGAGCAACCTGCTATCCAGTCTCCTTGACCCCATGGCCAGCTCAGTAGCGCCCCCCCCCCCCGATAGCTTTCCTTCTCCTCTTCCCACTTCTTTCTCTGCATTTTTACTTCCTTGGGATTACACCTCCAATGACATTAGTTTATGTTCTCTAGAAAGGAGCCGGAGGCAAATCTCAAATTGATCTTATTTTGCTTGTTATATTTCTGTTATCTGAAGTCCTCTTCCCACAAATGGCACTTTCTCATCTTTTAGATCTTAGCTTAAATGATAATGCTTCCAAGAGACCTTACCCAAACTATCCTTCCACCCCATTCTCCCAAGTATTCTGTTCTTTGTCTTTGTAGCTTTTACTATAATTTTTAATGATACATTTATTTCGGGTTTTCTTGTTGATATTGATCTTTCCACTGTAAGTCCAGGGCCAAGCACACAGTAGACTCTCAATAGTATTTGTGGAATAAATAAATAAAGTAGGTTCCATAAAAAAAAAACTTCATTTTTTATTTCTCCAGTGTTCTTCAAACTCTACAGAGTATTTCTCTAGAAGTGGAGATTGAGTATTTAAATAGCCAACAAAATGTACCAGAATTTACTTACGTTTCCAGTTACCTGGAAGGATACTACATACCCAATAAAATATTTAACATTCAGAACATGCAAAATTTTGATACTAGAAATCGATCACATTTTTAAAATATGTGTTCATATTAGAAAAGGAAGAATTTGCTTTAAAATCTTAACAATTAAGAGACATATAGGAACATAACAAAATTAAAACTAACTGCTGAACAACCATTGATAAGAAAGACTGGAGCCTACCAAAAACATCTACATCTGAAGACATAAAGAAGGAACCACAACAAGACAGTAGGAGGGGCACATGCTCGATATAATCAAATCCCAGATTACTCGTGGATAGGGAGACCCAGAAACTGGAGAAAAATTATACTGCAGAGGCTCTCCCACAGAAGTGAGAGTTCTGAGCCCCATGTCAGACTCCTCGGACCAGGGGTCCGAGGGGAAGAGAAGCCCCCAAAGCATTGGTCTTTGATGTCCGGTGGGGATTAATTGCAAGAGCTCCACAGGCAACAGAGGGAAACAGATTTTACTCTTAAAGAGCAAACACAAAATCTCATGCACACTGGGACCAAGGGTAAAAGAACTAACTTCACAGGAACCTGGGCCAGAACTACCTGCTGCTCTTGGAGGGTCTCCTGGGCAGATGGGGGGGGGGGCAGGGAGAGTGGTGGCTGTGGCTCACCCCAGGGACATGAAAGCTGGTGGAGGACATATCAGGGAGTAATTCATCTATATGAACACTACCCTAGGCTGACATCTTGCTTGGGTCATTAGTACCAATACCTGGTCCCACCCAACAGCTTGTAGGCTCCAGTGCTCAGACACCTCAGGCCAAACAACTAACTAGATGGGAACACAGCCCCATCTACCAGAAGACAGGGTACCTAAAGAACTCCTGAGCCTACAGCTCCCTCTAGACATGCCCTAGGTACAGCCCTGCCCACTAGAGGGGCAGGATCCAGCTCCAGCCACCAGTGGGCAGGTACCAGCCCCTGTAACCAAGAAGCCTGCACAAGCCTCTAGACCAGCCTCAGCCACCAAGGGACAGACGCCAGCAGCAAGTAAACTACACTCCTGCAGCCTGTAGGATGAACCCACACATACAGGCCAGACTCTACCCTGGGACCAGCTAGCCCTGGCCCTTGGGTGACGAGAGGGAAGTGCACTGCTGGGATGCAC